AGATTTAACTTCTAATCTCTTAACACCTCACAATTCCCACACAGGAACTCTTAGGAAGTACATGCAAGTCATGTGAAATTTTGGTTAATGTGTTCTCTTTTTTTCAGAACATTCTTCCTACCAGATTTCTTTTTAAGGTTCTTTTTTTTTTTTCAATTATGCGTCTATATACATGGAGGCCAAAGAGCATCATGTCCACTGAGCTGGAGTTGCAGGCTGTTGTGACCTGCCTGACATGAGTGCTGGGAGCTAAGCTCAAGTCCTCTGCACAGGCACTGTGAGCTCTTCACAGTTAACCGCTGAGGTTAACTTCTGAATTAGCTATATTTCCATTGCTGTAATAAAACACTCTGACCAAGGTAATTTATAAAAGAAAGCTTTTAATTTAACTTAGAGTTTCAGAGGATTAGAGTCCATGGTGATGGAGCGAAGGCATGGCAGCAAGAACAGCTGAGAGCTCACAGCTTAAAACCACAAGCAGGAGGCAGAGAGCACACTGGGAATTGTTGCAGAACATTTGTTTATACTGCAAAGATGTGTCTCTGCCTAAGGCGCCTTCTGATTGGATTAATAAAGAGCTAAATGGCCAGTAGCTAGACAGGAGAGACAAGGTGGGACTTTTTGGCACAGAGAGAACTGGGAGGAAGAATCTTGGTGCCCAGTTTCACCAGCAGACTCGGAGCAAGTTGGATGTGCTGTGCTAAGAAGTAACCAAGTCACATGGCAGAAAATAGATTTTTTTAAAAATGATTTAATTAAGTTATAAGAGCTAGTTGAGAAAAAGCCTAAGCTAGTGCCAAGTTTTTATATTTAATAATAGTCTCTGGTTCATTATTTGTGGGATGTTGGTCCAAAGACAGTCTGACAAGAAAGCTTGCTACAGAGAATAGCATGAGTCTTCAGTCTCACCCACAGAGACACGCCTCTTCTGACAAGGTCACACCTTCTGATCCTCCCAAAGAGTTCTACCAACTAGGGATCAAGTATTCAAACATATGAAGCTATGGGGGTCTTGTTCCTTCAGACAGAGAGATACCACCCCTTGGCCCTCTGCATACCATATGTGTTCATTTGTTATGTCTTCTCGTTGATTCTGTTCTCGCTGAGAAGAAAAAGTTCAACAGGTAAAGACGCAGGAAGACCTTTTAGTAGTCCCATTTTTATGTATACACCATTTAAAGTCATTTGGACAAATGGAAAAGTTGTTTGGAGAATGCTAATTTAGCTGGTGGCTTGTCTCCACCTCTCACCAGCTGGTGGAAGAGATGGCAACTTGACTGGGCAGTTTCCTCATTTCTCCTTACCCTTCTGCCCACATCCAAACTAGAAGGAGACAGCTGTGACAGAGACGGAGAGGTCTAATCAGGAGCCCCGAGCTGTGATCCACTTTCTGTGGTGCCCTGGGGAAAAGCACACAAACTGTCTGCAGCTTGGAGGACAGTCCCAGGTGGATAGGCTGCTTTTGCATGCATTTGCAAACCATCTCTTTCTCTCCCCTCTCCAGCTGTGTGGCCTTCTCACACTGCAGTCAGGTGACATCTTACTTCAGAAGCCCTTCGACTCTGTCCGTAAAGTTTCCTCCCTAAAGCGATTCTTACTTAACCAGGAGGTTCAGGTGCAAGGTCACACATGCAGCTTAGGTACTTATACAATGAGTCTTAGTGGCCAACTTACATTTTATTTATATTTAGTCTGTCTTACTATTCTTTTTGGTGGTCTCGAGGAAGGTAGAAGAAAGCCAGGTATAGTGGAATGTTCTCTCAGTCCAACTAGTTGGGAAGCTGAGGCGAAGGGTGACTTCCAGCTGAGTTTAAGACAAGCCTGGGAAAGGTAGGGGATCCAATCTCTCTTATTTTTAAGATTTATTTATTTATTATGTATACAGTGTTCTGTCTGAATGTCTACCTGCACTGCAGGCGAGAAGAGGGTACCAGATTGCATTACAGATGGTTGTGAGCCGCCATGTGGGTGCTGGGAATTGATCTCAGGACCTCTAGAAGAGCAGCCAGTGCTCTTAAACTCTGAGCCATCTCTCCAGTCCGGACATCCTATCTCTTTAAACAAGAGGACGACCGTCAGTGAAGAAAGTCTTACTGTGTAGCCTAGTTGGCTAGCCTGGAACTCTGTGTAGACCAGGCTGGCCTCTGCCATCCAAGTGCTAGGATTAATGTCTTGTGCCACCACATCCAGCTGTGATGTAATATTTCTGTGTCTTCTAGTGGACGCACATGTACATGTGGGTGCATGAACACATTTGTGCGCATGCGTATGGAGGCTTCCCGCTTACCTGAGCCTCGGGCCAGGAGGCCCCGAGAACTCCGGTCCGCCTTCATGGTGCTGGGCTCACAAGTGCTGCACTACTGTCTGCTTGGCGGGTTGTACTAGACTAAGCATCTCCTTAGCCTGATCCTAAGATTTTTAAGTTGTTTATTTCCTTTTAGCTAGATCTAAAAATTCTATAGATGGCACTTCAGACACCAATGACAGAATGAAGAAGTTAATAACCAGATCTAGTCCACCACCTACAATGGGGAGGTGGTGTGCCTTGAACCCTTAGAGGTGAGTCAGAATTGAGCGTGTCCTATAGGCTAACAGCTCACCTTTGCTCTGAACCGGCACAATGATGACAGAACCCCAAAGAAGAAACTTGGAATTTACACGGGCTTGATCACACAGGTAAATGGACAAAAACAAAATGAATTTTCATTGGCATGAAAATACATATACAAACATATATACTCACTAACTCAGTAAGAACCTATATAGGTATGAGTCAAAATTTTGTCCAATAATTGTAGTATATATTATATATGTGTGTATTAATACATAATATATGTAAATAATTGTTAACTGAAAGTTAAATGAGAGTTAAATATTTTATATTGGTGTCCATTCCACCATACCATTTTATATTGGTGTCCATTCCACCATACCAGGTGTTTGTAGCACTACCAGGGGTAATGTTTTCCCCCCTTATAAAATTCTAGTCTTGAGAGTAGTAAGACAGCTAAGTGTGTAAATGTGCTTGACACCAAGCCTGATGATGTGACATCCATCCCCAGGACCCCCATGGCAGAAGAAAAGAACAGATTTGTCCTCTAACGCCCATACTTATACCATGGTAAATGCACACCCACGTGTGTGTGTGTGTGTAAACAAATAAGATGTTTTAAAAAAAAATTAAGCCGGGCGATGGTGGCGCACGCCTTTAATCCCAGCACTCGGGAGGCAGAGGCAGGCGGATCTCTGTGAGTTCGAGGCCAGCCTGGTCTACAAGAGCTAGTTCCAGGACAGGCTCCAAAACCACAGAGAAACCCTGTCTTGAAAAATCAAAAAAAAAAAAAAAGTAAAAAAAATTAAAGACCTAGAGAGATGACTCAGCAGTAAGAGTACTTGTTGCTGTGGCAGAGGACTAGAGTTCAGTTCCCAGGACCCACGTGGTAGTTCACACCACTGACCCAGGGAATCTGATTCCCTCTCCTTGCCTCCAAAGACACCCACACTCATATGTACATTCCCACACAGATACGTAGTATCTTAGGGTTTCTTTGCTATGAAGAAACACCATGACCACCACAACTTTTATAAAGGAAAACATGTAACTGAGGTGGGTTTAGTCCATTATCATCATGGTGGGAAGCAAGGCAACATGCAGGCAGACATGACACTAGAGGATCTGAGAGTTCTCACATCTTGACTCACAGGCAACCATAAGTGGACTGTCTCACAGGGCATGGCTTGAGCATGTATGAGACCTCAAAGCCCACCTCCACAGTGACACACTTCCTCCAACAAGACCACACCCACTCCAACAAGGCCGTACTTCCTAATAGTGCCACACCCTTTAGGGGCCATTTTCCTTCAAACCACCACAAATAGTCATACAAATAATTAAAAATAAAGTAAATATTTGTTTGAGACAGGATCTCACTATGTAGCTCTGGCTGTCCTCGAGTTCATAACCTCCTGCCTCTGCCTCCCAAGTAGTAGAATTAAAGGTGTGTGCCACCATACTTTGCTAAAGTAAATTTTTTCCCTTAATTCTGGTTTCTGTGTTTGCTGAACCCTGAGGAATAAGAGTTGTTCTCTAATGTATGGAGAAACTCCTATTAGTGCTACGAATACAATGTAAATAAAACATTTAAAGCAAAAACATGTTTGACAGAAAATTTTTCTGAAAATGCTTATCAGAGACATATATATGTATAGAAAATGTTGAAAAGTGCATACTTTTAGCAGGAAAAGTAACAAAACTTTCTAATTCAGCTCACATACAGAATTTTTTAACTTTTTAGGACAGTTGATTATTGCTCAGTGGTAAGAGTGTTTGCTAGCATACATCTGACCCTAGGTTTAGAGAGAATTGTTAAACATTTTTGAACTACTAATATGCTACTGCTTGGTGTTAAAATATTGCATTATTACAGGCATTTTTAATTGCATTTAGTGTGTGTGTGTGTCTGTGTGTGCGCACGCACACGCTCAGAGGACAACTTGCAAGAGGCAGTTCTCTTTTTAAACCTTGTGGATCATGGGACTGAACTCAGGCGTGGCAACAAGCGCCTTCACCATCCAAGCTATCTCAAAGTCCCTAAAAACAGATTTTTTTTTCAGTGTGTTGGTTTGGCAGATATTTGAGACAGAGTCTCCATCTCTCCCAGGCTGGTTTTGAGACAAGGTTTCCATCTCTCCCAAGCCAGTCTGAAGTTTTGTACTGCTACCTTGGTAAAAATGGCCTTGCACTTCTGATCCTCCTGCCTCTACTTCCCCGGGTGCTGGCATTGTAGGCTTACAGCACCCTAATCATCATATGCAATACTAGAGTTTGAACCCAGGGTTCCATGCATATGAGGCAAGCACTCTACCTACTGAGCTACTCCCTGGTCCAGCTTTTTTTACTCTTTGAAAGCTGTAGGACAGTGTCAATAAGATGATCTCAGCAGCACATCACTAGGGAGGACTGTGTGGACAAATAACAAAATTGCTTTCCTCATTTTTAGGTGTGTGGTTTTTAATAACAGAGGAGTGGCAGGAGAGAATCTCCTGGTAAGTAAATTTAAAAGACAAGTTTCAATTTGAAAAAGAATAATTTTCTGTTTTATAATGAAAAGCACATTATATTTTATTGAAACTAGTATTGCAGTTAATGTAAGGTCATAGTAGGAAAAGCTTTCCAGCTCAAATTAGTATACTTTATAGTTCTTTTATTTGCTTGTATGTGTTAGTATGTGTATAGATACCCTGGAACTAGAGTTACATGCACTTGTGAGTCATTTCATGTATGTGTTAGTTTGTGTATAGAGACCCTGGAACTAGAGTTACATGCACTTGTGAGTCATTTCATGTATGTGTTAGTTTGTGTATAGAGACCCTGGAACTAGAGTTACATGCACTTGTGAGTCATTTCATGTATGTGTTAGTATGTGTATAGAGACCCTGGAACTAGAGTTACATGCACTTGTGAGTCATTTCATGTATGTGTTAGTATGTGTATAGAGACCCTGGAACTAGAGTTACATGCACTTGTGAGTCATTTCATGTATGTGTTAGTATGTGTATAGAGACCCTGGAACTAGAGTTACATGCACTTGTGAGTCATTTCATGTATGTGTTAGTATGTGTATAGAGACCCTGGACTAGAGTTACATGCACTTGTGAGTCATTTCATGTATGTGTTAGTATGTGTATAGATAGAGACCCTGGAATAGAGTTACATGCACTTGTGAGTCATTTCATGTATGTGTTAGTATGTGTATAGATAGAGACCCTGGACTAGAGTTACATGCACTTGTGAGTCATTTCATGGACTCTGGGAACTGAACTGGGGCCTTCCAGGAGAGCAGGACGTTCTCTCAACCACTGAGCTGTCTCCCAGTCACCAACACTTTTATTTCATAATGACGTCCATATTGACTGTATCCTAACATCAGGAGATATTAATGTATAGCTTTTTATGCTTTTGTTTGTTTTTGATTTTGAGATGGTTTCTCTGCAGTGTCCTGGCTGTCCTAGAACTCACTCTGTAGATGAGGCTGGCCTCAAACTTAGAGATCTATCTGCCTCTGCCTCACAGCACTAGGATTAAAAGTGTGCACCACTACCACCCAGCTATGCCTATCATTTTAATGCAAAATACATTTTCTTTAAAAATTAACCAGTATAGTCTATAGATAAAGCTAAGTGGTTAGAGTTCTTGCCAAGCATGTGTGAGGTAGACTCAGTCCCAGTGCCAGGTGGCCCTGGAGGATTTTAGTTACTGTTCTATTGCCGTAACGAGAAGCCATGGCCAGGACGACTTATAAAAAACCATGCTAACTGTTTCATAGGATGAGTACATGGCCATCATGGTAAAGAGCATGTCAGCACGTAGACATCAGTAGCTCCGAGAACTTACTTCTGATCCATAGGCAACAGGCAAAGAAACCAAGTCTGCACCTAGTGTGAAGCCACTCCTGGAGATACACCTCTTCAAATAAGGTCACACCTTCAAATCCTTCCCAAAACAGTTCCACCTACTAGGGTCCAAGCGTTCAGATATGTGAGTCAGTGAGGCCAGTCTCAGTCAAACCTCAAACCACAAAAACAGTGGAGTAATACGTGCTTTTCTGTTATAAAAAGAGATTTACTCAAACCACCTCAAACAACAAAAACAGTGGAGTAATACGTGCTTTTCTGTTATCAAAAGAGATTTAGGCAGGCAATGGTAGTGCACAGCTTTAATCTCAGCACCAGGGAGGCAGAGGCAGGTGGATCTCCGTGAGTTTGAGGCCAGCCTGGTCTACACAGGTGAAACCTGTCTCAAAAACAAAACAAAAAACTGTTGCAGGAGGAGACCACTTGTTTCCCGGCCACCCAGCAGCTCAGACCAGAAATAATCACACAGAAACCATATTATTTAAATCACTGCTTGGCCCATTAGCTCCAGCTTCTTATTGGCTAACTCTTACACATTAATTTAACCCATTTAAAGTAATCTGTGTATCACCACGTGGCTGTGGCTTGCTGGCTAAAGTTCGGGTGTTTGTCTCCAGGGGGCTACATGGCTTCTCCTGACTCTGCCTCCTTTCTCCCAGCATTCAGCTTAGTTTTCCCCTGCCTACCTAAGTTCTGCCCTATCAACAGGCCAAGGCAGTTTATTCACTAATGGTAATCACAGCATACAGAGGGAAATCCCACATCACCTCCCTTTTCCTGTTTAAATAAAAAGAAAGGTTTTAACTTTAGCATAGTAAAATTTCATATAACAAAACAGTTATCAAGCAAGAATTACAGTTAGAATATTTATATCTACTTTATCTTTTATCATAACTAAGGAAAACCTCTGCAACTGTTTATGCTTCAACTTCATCAAAGACCCCAGAAGGATATATTACCTAAGTAAACAGAAAGTGCATTGTAAGCAACTTCCAAAACTCTAGAAATGACAGAGACATCTTGCTGCCTGAACAGTCATCCAAAGTTCTTCTGTACCATTGGGGCATCCATCTTCATCCTACAGGCCAATAGTATCCAGAAGACTTTTCCATGAAGCAGAAAATTTCAAAGACAGTTTTATCTATATTGACAGTTTGTCAGTCACTTTCTTCTGTGTCCTGAAGAATGTCTGGCAGACTCTTTGATGAAGCAGGAACCCCCAAGGATCATCTCACCTTTAGACAAGTTCAGCAGTCATTTCTCTGTGGGTCCTGCATGCCCAGTTCATGAAGCAGTCCAGGCAAGAGCAGTTTCTTGCCCAAATGGCCAATAAACTCCATAAGGAGCCTCTTTGATGCCCATCATCCTCTTGAAGTAATTGGTGCTGCCAGGAGCAGATGTGTCTCATTGTCATGAAAAGTCATTTTAAATGCCATATTCTGAAGTGAAAGATTTGAAGAATACTTATCTAACTGAAATATATCTGTGTACATCTAGAAAATCTAACTAACATGACTACAGACTTGACTATTATAGATGATTATCTATTAACCTATATTTCTTAATTATACATTACATTTTTAAATGAACTGTCCAATCACAATACCTTAATCAAGAGCAGAAATTATACACACACACAGTATAACAAAATTGACCTTAAATTTGTATCAATAAATTCAGATTCATACTCATGCAAATCTCTATAGCATATCCCTCTTTAAATATAAACAAACATTTATAGACAATATTTGGGAATATGGGCATAGTTCTGTCTAAACTTTTTCTTGCTGTTTATTGGGCAAAGTAATTTTAGGGGGTGTTCATGGGGTCTCGGTCCATCAAACCACATTAGTCTAGAAGGATCCCACAGGTTCTCACCCTCTGTGGAAACAAAAGAAGAACCTCTTTTCCAAACAACAATTCCTTAGACCCCCATTCCTGTTGTGTATCTGTAATTCTTTACTGTCCAGGAGTGCTTCTTAAAATGGTAAGTGCTTCATAAAAACTTAAGCAGTGCCATTGGTGGTGGTAATACAGCATTGCCTGCTTGCCCCGCTCAGCCCAGCATGGTGGAGCTGTTTGCTGCCTCTGAGATCCATGCTCCTAGCCCTACCTTTAGGCACACAGCCAGTCTATGTTGCCATTAAGCAAGTTGTAGCAGTCTGCTCTCAAAATCCATTTAAATGCTCCATAGCCAGACCTCCCGACAAAGAATCAGAGTTTGTGCTGGCAGCATGGCCCAGAAAGCCAGCATTTCAAAACCATGCAGCTTTTTTTTTCTGCTACTGCTGAATCAGGAAAACCTCTCTCAAAGGAGCTGTGGCACACCACCAGCAAACAGCAAGAAGCTGTGTTATTCTTATTGGCTAACTCTTTAACATCTTAATTTAACCCATCTCCATTAATCTGTGCATCACCATGAGGTTGTGGCCTATCAGCAAATTTTCAGCATGTCTGTCTCCAGTGGCAGCTCCACAGCTCCTCCTGACTCTCCTTCCTTTCTCCCAGCATTCAGCATAGTTTTCCCCCCTACCTAAGTTCTGCCCTATCAGCAGGCAAAGACAGTTTCTTTATTCACCAATGGTAATCACAGCATACAGAGGGAAATCCCACATCAAAAAGCAGAAAAGAGATTTAGTTTTGTCATGACATACACTGGCTGTGTGTTGTATTCATATTTACAGGCAGGTTTTACAAAGGAGTAGTATTATTTAAATCATTTTAAATTAAATCATGTTTCCCCCTCTGACTCCTAGTTAGTTCTTATACATCGCTGCCGCATTTGGTAAGTAGATCTGTAGGATGAGTCAGGCACGGTGCTCACTGCGTCTTTCTTCTCAGCTGTCTGGGAAGCTAAAGTAGGAGGATTGCTTGAGCTCAGGAATTCAAGGCCAACACAGTGAGGTCTGAAGGGAACAGCATACTACAAGCAGAGTCTCCTCGGTCCCACAGAGAGACAAGGATCTGCTGTGGTTAAGGCAATAGAGTGGATTGTACAAATTAATGGGGCCTGCCTGTCCTTCTCAGAAGCTCAAGGTTCACTTGCAGTGAAGTATAAAAAAAATAGATGTAGTTCATTGCCAAGTGTAACTTCAGCAAGTTCTATAAGCTATAAAAGACAGCAAATGGGTAACCAGTTTCCTGGAAGGCGTGGGAAGTTTCATGATAGTCACCTTCTTAGTTGCATATTTAAGGCTATGACATTGAACCCTCAAGAGGTTGTCATAGTATATCAAGAAAGCTATTACTTGTGGCTGGATAATGATGGTGGTAATTCTGAATAATATTTTTGAGTCCTTAGGATATATCACTTATGTCTTTTTTACTTATCTTCGGGAGTAGAGTCAACCCAGTGATCTATGGAAATAGAGCCATGGTCATTCCCGTCTTCCACATGAAGAAAGTGGGACATGGGGAGAATAGGACTCAGAGGTGGGGCTCTGGCATGTACCTGTGTCGGTGAGGACCGATAGGATAAGTTCCCTTACTCTTCATAAAGTAGCAGATATTCTTCTAGAAGCATGGGCTCAGTTTTAACAAAGTATGTGATAATCCTAAGAAGCTCAGTACTGCATTATCACTCTTTGGAAGCAGGAATGACTTGACCATGGTCCTGGTGCGGAGCCATGGAG